CGGAACTATCCTAACCTAACCTAAACGAACCCAACCTAACACAACCTAACCTAACCTATCGTAATCAACGCCAGGCGTCGGGACGCCGAGCATCACACCATTTAATAACACAAATGATAGCTCAGATGTAGTTAGACATCACTGATGACAAAAGTAGAAAAGCGGCGCCCGGCGTCGCGACGCCTATCGTCACGACTCCTCCACAAGACCCAGGAATGTGACTTGAAACATTTGGATAACTTTGATTCAATTTCAGAAAACCGACGCCTGGCGTCGCGACGCCGAACATCCCGACGCCCTAACATGGCGCCAAAGTTACCGCAGATGAATTTAAATATCACTGCTGAAGAAACTAGAAAACCGACGCCTGGCGTCGCGACGCCATCCACCGTCACCCCAGATGAAGCATGCCACCCTTCATATAACGTTGGGCACGATGATAGAGGAACGACGCCGTGCGTAACGAAGTTCTTGCAGGACGTATTTCTTCCGAAGACGCCAACCTAACCTAACCTAACCTAACATAACCTAACCAAACCTAACCAAACCTAACCTAACCTATCATAACCTAACCAAACCTAACCTAACCCAACACAACCTAACCTAACCCAACCTAACCTAACCTAATCAAACCTAACCTAACATAACCTAACCAAACTTAACCGAAAATAACCTAACACAACCTAACCTAACCTAACGTAACCTGAACTGTCCTAACCTAAACTATCGTAATCAACGCCAGGCGTCGCGACGCCGAGCTTCACACCATCTAATGACACAAAAGATACCGCATATGTAGTTAGACATCACTGAGGACAAAAGTAGAAAAGCGACGACCAGCGTCGCGACGCCTATCGTCACGACACCTCCATAAGACCCAAAAATGTGACTCGAAAGATTTGGGTTAACTTTGATTTCAATTTTAGGAAACCGATGCCTGGCGTCGCGACGCCATCCGCCGTCACGCCAGATGAAGCATACCACCCTTCGTATAACGTTGGGCACGTTGATAGAAAATCGACGCCGTGCGTAACGAAGTTCTTTAAGGACGTATTTTTACCGAAGAGGCTAACCTAACCTAACACAACTACTGCTGAGCACTACTTGAGAAAATGTATTGGGTCCAATTTCAGCTTCATGGTTACAAAGGGTTACATTAGATCCATATTCACAAAATATAAAATTAAGGAACAATTTTCAGTGCAGACTCCTGAATAAACTGTCATAAAAATCCATTCAACCGTTTCTAGTTTGTAAGGAGTTAAAATGAAAATAATATCAGGCTAGATAAGATAAGTACTGCACAGGCTTTCTATAAAGCTGCATGTAAATTTTAGGACCTTATATAACAGTATGCATACAAATAAACCACTCAAGGAGAGAAAATAACAGTTTAATGCTTTTATTACCATAAGCAATTCTATTATAAAGTCTTTTTGATCTGTTGATTACACTAAGCAATTAATATAATGGACTGATATATCCTTTCCAAGGTCATTTACATATCAACATCCTAGGGGAAGTATGTTAAAAATTCTCCACAAATTCTTCTCACAAGAAAGGACCACTGGTAGGTTTTGTGCACACTAGATAAAATAAGCAATTAAGTCTAATGTAAATCACTGTTTAATACAATTTTGTAAATTAAAATTGTTTGATATATTTTGGCAAAATTCTGCCATCCTCTGGGGCAAAACACAGTCATTATAGCACAGTGAGTATTAAGTAATTGGTGACATTAGTGAACATAATGGACAAAATATGTGCAAATTATGAATAATTTCACTGTATTATATTTACATACCAAATATAAATATAAAGAACATCAAGGAAAACTTCACTAGACATGATGATGAGTAAAAACCATGTAACCATCATCATTGCCTACATGACTTCGAAACTTCATATGGAGAAAGAACAATAATAACTTATCACAGTTTAATTATGTTATGTACCTATATTATATATCAATTATAAAACTTTTACCACCATACACATACCTCTGAGGATGGTGACATTTCATTGAAGCATGGTGGGCAAGTGTTAATTAAACTTAACATTTCAATTTCCTTTACATACTGGCATTTAGTTATTGTACACATATTTTGGGTTGAAAATAGTTGCACCTAACAGTCATTTATGAAATCTATAAAATTATTATATTCAATTAAAAACCACTAACATAAAATATATAGCATAAATTACTTACCCATATGTATCTCCTAAGGTTCTGTAAAAATTGTCAACTTAATCCACAGACATAATTTAACAATTGATTGATGTCTGTAAATGTGCAAACTTCCTGATACTCTGTATGCTAACTTTTTGCTTCACCTTTTTATTCTTATAGGAAACTTAATAATAAACTAAAACAGCAAGATGACTATTCTCCATAAACACAACAATGACATAGGAGGTAACTGCTAAAGTTAATACCTTAGAAATATAACCTTTAGGCAATGATTAATTTATTTCAGAGCCTTTAGAGGTAGGCATTTAAATAAGACTTTACTTAATTAAAAAGTATAGTTTTCTATAACACCAAGTAAATATATGGAGTGTCTGATCACAAGTCTTATGCTTCACAACTTTATACAGTTTCAGGCACTGATATGTTCCATTTAAATTTTGTCTTTCTTCACAGCTTGGATCCCAGCACGTGTTGTGCTGGGAGTCCTAGTATTTACAATCTCAGCTGCATCATGCATGCATGGTTCCAACATGGGGATCATAATTATTGACATGGTAGCTCCACCAACAACATCAATATTTGGTGACTCTAAGTGCAAACCTGGGAATGAAAATTTCCAAACCGATATTACACTACAACCTCAGGTATGTAAACCCACTTCTATCTTCATAATATTAAACAAATTAACTCCAGTTAACAGTCACTCAAATAATCACAAAATTCCCCACCTTTCACAGCAGCCAAAGATTTATCATTGTGTTCACAAGTCTTACACCAGTTTCTACCACGAGCCAGATTACCCAGTTCACATATTCTCAACATCTTTTTAAATATAAATTTTAATATCATTCTTCCATATACACTTGCATCTCCCATATGGTCTCTTCCCTTCAGGTTTTCTCACTACAATTCTGTATGCATTTCCTATATTTGCATGTATGCATGCTACATGCCCTGCCATCTCTTAACCATTTATTAAATAATGTTTGGTGAGGTGGTGAGAACTACACATAATGAATCTCATCATAAGGCAAATTTCACCATCTACCTGTCACTAGTCTCTCTTAGGTGCAAATATTCATCTCAGCACAGTTCTCAAATACCATCAAGATCAGAGACTAAATTTCATGTCTATATAAAAGAGAAAGTAAAATAATAAACTGAAGCATATTCTTGGACATCAAAAATCATTCTTGTGTGAATATGTGAACACAATTTTTCATATTCATGTTCCAGATAACTGAGAGGTACAGCTGGAATCAAGTCCTACAGTCTGTTATACTTGGAACTTACTATCTTGGATACAGCACAACACAGATCTTTGGAGGAATGCTGGTAGAGAACTTTGGAGCCAGAAGTGTGGTTCTTGTAACCTCTTTATTATCTTCTTTTTGTACTGCATTAATTCCATTATGTGCTCAAGGTCACTACACACTTGTCATACTGAGCAGGTTCATCATTGGTCTCTGTGGGGTAATCTATCAACATGTTTTTATTCATACTGATGTTATTAAAATGACACTTTAGTTGAAAAGCAAAACTTGTCCTTTAGCAGGATCCTAACAACAAACAGTGAGAATAGACATATACTATAACTATATTCTTCACATAAAATGCATCAGGTGAGGTCATAGCCATCTGTTAGTCTGCATATTTCAATTTGAAAACTGCCAGAAATTTTGATGGCATTTGAAATAAGAGAGTTTTTCAAGCTTTAATTAAAATCAGATAATTGCAATTTTGATTAAAATGAAACAATACTGACCATTTTACCTAAGACCCAAATGCATTTTGAAATGTACTTCACAAGTACCTCAATCAAACTCAACTTCATGAATGTTCTCAAAAATGGCTCATCATGAAAAGAATTTATATGTAATGTAATACATAGTTGTAATTAAGATCTGTAACTCACAAGTCTTACACCAGTTTCTACCACGAGCCAGATTACCCAGTTCACATATTCTCAACATCTTTTTAAATATAAATTTTAATATCATTCTTCCATATACACTTGCATCTCCCATATGGTCTCTTCCCTTCAGGTTTTCTCACTACAATTCTGTATGCATTTCCTATATTTGCATGTATGCATGCTACATGCCCTGCCATCTCTTAACCATTTATTAAATAATGTTTGGTGAGGTGGTGAGAACTACACATAATGAATCTCATCATAAGGCAAATTTCACCATCTACCTGTCACTAGTCTCTCTTAGGTGCAAATATTCATCTCAGCACAGTTCTCAAATACCATCAAGATCAGAGACTAAATTTCATGTCTATATAAAAGAGAAAGTAAAATAATAAACTGAAGCATATTCTTGGACATCAAAAATCATTCTTGTGTGAATATGTGAACACAATTTTTCATATTCATGTTCCAGATAACTGAGAGGTACAGCTGGAATCAAGTCCTACAGTCTGTTATACTTGGAACTTACTATCTTGGATACAGCACAACACAGATCTTTGGAGGAATGCTGGTAGAGAACTTTGGAGCCAGAAGTGTGGTTCTTGTAACCTCTTTATTATCTTCTTTTTGTACTGCATTAATTCCATTATGTGCTCAAGGTCACTACACACTTGTCATACTGAGCAGGTTCATCATTGGTCTCTGTGGGGTAATCTATCAACATGTTTTTATTCATACTGATGTTATTAAAATGACACTTTAGTTGAAAAGCAAAACTTGTCCTTTAGCAGGATCCTAACAACAAACAGTGAGAATAGACATATACTATAACTATATTCTTCACATAAAATGCATCAGGTGAGGTCATAGCCATCTGTTAGTCTGCATATTTCAATTTGAAAACTGCCAGAAATTTTGATGGCATTTGAAATAAGAGAGTTTTTCAAGCTTTAATTAAAATCAGATAATTGCAATTTTGATTAAAATGAAACAATACTGACCATTTTACCTAAGACCCAAATGCATTTTGAAATGTACTTCACAAGTACCTCAATCAAACTCAACTTCATGAATGTTCTCAAAAATGGCTCATCATGAAAAGAATTTATATGTAATGTAATACATAGTTGTAATTAAGATCTGTAACTTTTTATTTGAAACATTTTTCAGTATGGTAAATATTTAATGAAATACTAGAAAAATAATTTATAGCCCTGTACAGTATGATCTATTTTACAACAGATTTGTATCTACATAAATGTAATCAAGCAGTGAGGTTTGCAACATGCCAAAGAATGCATTTGTAAAACACAACTTTCCACTGTTGTTGTTGTTATTATTATTATTATTATTTAGGTTAATGTTATATCACCTCAGACTGCATTTATTTTAATTAGGTTTCATATTGTAAGCATGTTTCATGTAAATTGATGTGCATCAAAAAACAATAATTTTTTCACCCACCTATGAAGAGAAGTACCCTCTCAAGATGAAGTATATAGCTGAACACAAATTTACCAATAGCAAACATTAAAGCATCTGTCATAAAACTGTTTATACATTGCCCTTTTCATTCATTAATATTGTACTAAGGACCCTTTCATTCAATAACATTGCATAAACTGCACAAACTATGTAAATTCAAAGACAAATAGTAAGATCATTAATAATGTTGAATAGATGTCAAAATAAGCACAAACTATTTAAAAATACTCACAGAAAGAATGAAAGACCAGTCCTTCTAGTCTTTATTGGCATGTACATGAACCACTTGATGAGAACAATTTTTATGTATATTCATGTGTTATTATCTGCTCAGGGTGCCATGTACTCTGCTACGCATGCTGCAATTGCCCACTGGAGTCCACCCAATGAAAAAAGCAAATTTCTCTGGTGCACAATAGGTAGGTGTAGTTAAAATGTATTTCAAATAAATACTAAATTCTTTATTTTGAATTTCATCCTTCATCAGTTGATTACAATTATTAATCACAACATTTCAAAGGATGTATTGTCCTTCATATTCAGACATCAAAAAAAAGGGGGCACTTATTCTGTTCAATCCACTAGATGAAACTACTCCTGTTGAATAAATATTTTAACTGAAAAAGTAAACTGCATGTACTTTATTTTCTTCTAGATTATTTAACAAGTGTGTCACTTTAAAAGAATACTGATTGATGGTATCAGATGACAAAGTACCAAGCTGAATATTTGGACATAAGGAAAAATTATGGTAGGATGAAGAAAATTATGTAATGAAGAACTCATATGTATTCTTCATCAAGTAATATTATAGTGATCAAACCAATGAGGATTAAATGGGTGAAAAATGTAGCATGCATGGTGGAAATGAGAAATGCATACAAAATTGTTGTCAGAAATTCTCAAGAGAAGATGTCACTTGGGAGACCTAAATGTAAATGGGAGGATAATACTAAAATGTGTTTTAAAAAATAATGTGTATGTGTGGACCAGATTCAACTGCCTGAAGATAATTTTCAGTTGCAGAGTTTAGTGAACACAGTAATGAATAATTGGGTTTCATATAGAGTGGCAGAATTTCTTGGCTGATTGGGCAACTGTTATCTTTTCAAAAAACAGCCTACACCATGGAATTTGTTAGCACTGACTTAGCATGCATGACAACACAATCATATTTTTTTCATTGTGTGGAAGCTCCCATACTCCATGAAGTTTACTATATTCCTTGCTGATATTGTATGCCTTATTAATTGCTCAGATTACATAATGTCAACAAATACATAAAGAAATTAATGACAAAAAGGGAGCAGCCATAACTTATTTTATAAAACTATCTTAGTGCTTGCCTGAGGTGAGGAAAGCCAAGAAAAACATTAAATCAGAATAGCCAGTTCCTGGCTGGAATTCAAACTGAGTGCCCGCCATATGTGAAACATGTACTTCCACTCTGCTGTTTCAGTTCAGCTTACAATATAATATGTGACACAGGTGGAACATTTGGAACAATGGTGGCATTTCCACTGTGTGGAGCCATTTTGAACTTCTTGGGCTGGCAGGCTGCTTTCTATGTCACATCAGGATTGATGCTAATTGTTTGCTTAGCATGGTCTTTATTCATGTACAACACACCGCAAGAACATCCCCAAATAACACAGGATGAACTGCAGTACATACAGAATGCCAATGGATACATTTCCAAAAATAGGGTAAGCTTCAAAAATGTTATAACTTTTGATCAGTTTGTGACTAAAACCACAGTCTTAATTATTTTGTCATTTTCCTCCATTATATGCTAGAAGATACTTGTATTAATTGAATCTTCAGTATAAATAGTATGTCACTATGATTTACAAGCTGTCTCCTATGTAGGTCCCTGAATTAACTTTCATCATATCATAGGATGAGGTTCCCCATCACCTCCCCGGTAATGTCATTGTTTCACTACTGTTCACATACCATAATCAGTTTTAAATCTGTAACTTCTCACATGTCACTTCACCTGTTTCCTGCACTAAACCAACAGCCAGGATACCAAACCTGACCATGATGCAAAAACAAGATTGAAACAATGACTGGAAGAGACAGGGCATTAACTTTTCTTGGCATGGGATATAAAAGCTCATCTTAGAGCAACAGAGACTTGCACAAAGATTGACAATGTTTTATCCACAGCAAGGATTCAGTAAATCATTTCACCATACCTTCAATGTCTTGTAAACTTATTTTTATTGCCTATTGTGCTTTACTGTATAATCTTTCATCAGTAAAACATCATGTTTCAGAACCTTTAACTTAACTATTTCTTTTTTATTTCCAGAAACCAAAATTCCCAGTAAAGAAGGTGTTCACATCTGTTCCTGTCATAGCATTGGTGATTCTTCAAATTGGTGATGTCTGGGGGCTATTCCTTGCAGCAAATTACGGCCCCAAATTCATGAAGGAAGCTTTGGGATTTGATCTCCTATCTGTAAGTCATGTCTACTTGTAACAAGCAAACCTTCATCACAATTCAAGTGAGTTATAAATCTACAAGCACATAAAAGGTAATGTTACAGAGATATCTCTAATGCTCAAGCACCATATCATTAAGATATGCAAATAAAGTCAGTACAGTGTAGAAGTGAGTGCTTAAGTTCATGCTCTAGCCAAGAGAAAAAGCCTCTACTACCCATTAATAGAAAGGCTATGTGTAAGGCTCCAGAGGACTGAATGACCTATCATGTCTTGCCATTATCTCTACATCAAATTATGAATGTCAACACAAGCTAAGCTACATCAGCCATATATCACAGTTTATGCAATTCAACTGGCCATGTGTTGCAATAGCATACTGCTATAAAGTAAAGCTTTAGCAGTGACTGCAGTTAATGAAAGATTCTCGGGTTACAAGCCACCTCACGTGGCTTGTAACCCGAGAAACTTTCATCAACATACTGCTAAATTAAAACAAAGGTCTTTCATTATTATTTCAAAAAGCTTGTATGTCTTAAAATGTGCTATTGTCAGGATGACGTTGCCAAATACAAAAAATACATAACAAAACGTTACATTCATACATGCTTCACGTTCTCTTCAGTTATAAGTTAGGTCCTCATATTTCACTGTAATCACTTATAAAAAAGTTGTTTAGGGCTTCAGCTCCAGAACAATACCAGATGTTTCTATTTCATCCTATTTTTTCACGTATTTACCAGTATATCTAACAAACTCCATAAAGCACAGTCCTTACTGAAAAGCCAGTAGTAGCTCAGTTTGTCAAAATATACCCCTCATTTTATGAAATCCAAAGGTTCATTAGGGTTCCTAACAGCCCACCACTGGTCCCTGTCCTGAGCCAGATGAATCCTGTCTACCCTCTCACCTGATATTCTTAAGATCTATTTTAATAGTATCCTCCCATGTATCCCAAAGTTCTTCCAAGTACTCTCTTCCTTAGGTTTTTGACAAAAAGACTTGTATGCTTTTCTCATGTCTCCTAAGTATATAAACAGCCCATATCTCATCCTCTTTGACTTCATCTTCGTAACATTTGGTTAAGAAAACAAGTTATGAAACTCCTCATTTGTGTTCATTTTTCTCACCACAAATTTGAATGTTCTTCAACTCTCATAGGTCAAATCCCATTCCACGCTCAAGCAAGATCAAGATAAAAACATTCCTGCATCCATTTTAAAGTGAGCTGCTCAAAAATTTGTTTCAGACAGGAGGATTAGCTGCACTGCCTCACATGTCTCGATTAATATTTTGGACAATCTTCAGTGCTGTAACAGACAGCATCCATGCAATGAAACTGATGTCTATTACACGCCTGAGGAAAACAATGACCATCTTCTGTAAGCCATATAAATATTTTATAACAGTCCTCATTACAGAAAAAAGGTTCAATAAGCACCATATGAGAAATATTTGGCCTAGTTATGTAGCCATCACAAGAACTGAGACATGCATCTCACAGAGTCATGAAGCATCACAATCTGTTCTCAAAGACTTCTGTAGTCTGCTGATAAGATCAGTCACCCACAGCCTACTGCACTTCATCAGAAATTGAATTGCTTCCTTTTAATGCCTTGTTCAAAGGCACAAAAATAAATCAAGCAGTCCCTGTAGACTTAAGACAATAAATAGCCTTATTTTGTCATATGTCTGACACTCAATTCTTCTCATATGGGAGACTTGATGTTTCACTTAGATTACTTCAACTCTAACACAGTGGTATTACCATGCTCCAGCACTACCTACATGGTGGGTGGGTTTCTGTTGTGCCTAGATTTCTGGTAATTGTTCCCAGAAGTTTCTACCATACCTCCCTTCCACAATGTGGAGATTTTTTAGTCAGTGAGTGGTAAAATGCTACATGTAAAATTCATACTCTCATAAGTAAATCTTAGATGTCTTATCATATTCCACTTATGCTAAATGGTTAATTGGAAAAATGATGTAGTACTTAAGGAGTTTTTAATATATTTCAAAATATTTCTAGTTTCCTAAATTTTCAAACTATAATACTAACAATATATCATGTTATGTCTACAGGTCAATTAGTGAAATAAATCCATAAGACTTCTCATCGACTCAATTTGCAGAGCACATTTCTAATAATGGGAAGCTGTATGGTGTAAGTGTAAATTTATAACCACAATGCCAAAAATTAGTAGAGTGGTTAGCTCTACTGCCTCATATTCTGGAGGTCCTGGGTTCAAATCTCGGCCCTGATACCGGCTACCTTGAGTTTTCGTGGTTTTCCTCAGTCCCTCCAGGCAAATGCCTGGGAAGTAAATTAAATTAAGCCACAATCGCTTCCTTGCAGATCCTCTTTAATTCAGTACTCACTGTCATCCTCTCATCTGACGCTATCTAATCTAGATACTGAAAGGGTCATTAAATAAACTATAAATACATAAATAAATAAAATATAACCACCACCAGTCAAATTATGTGAACAACGGGAAATGTAAACACTGAATTACTGGCTTACAGCTCACCTGGTACCAGCCATCTTCTTATTCTTGGTGGGCGAACTGGGCTGCATGCCATACATTTCCATTATGTGCCTTGTACTTTGTCTGGGGTTCAATGGCGCTGCTGTAGGCAGTTGCTTAGCCAATCCTCATGACTTGACTCCCAATTTTGCAGGTAGGTAACGGTAAACCATGTAGATTAGGTGCAAATAGCACAGGATATGAATAACTTGCAGTATTTATAAAGTCAAATATAATGAAAAACATAAAATCAACACTAAATTAAGAGAATTCACAACATTTCAAAATATTAAGCTTATTAAAATCCTAACAAATATGCCACATATGTAAATAAGTCATGGTTTATACTACACAAGCATCAACATATGCAGCATGGGATCAATTGGGAAGGATCTGGCCAATACTTGCACTTCAAAAGTAGTCATGTCCATATGGCAATGTAACCTTTATTCTACAGGGAAAAATGGATTTAGAGCACTATACTATGGAGCTCCAAGCCAGACTGTAACTGTGGGGTTAATAGTTTAGTAGCATGGTAGTGTGATGCAAGGCCATTTTATGAAAGATTGTATTCTCATTTTCAGGTACAATATTTGGCATACAAAATGGTGTAGCTTCCATATTCAGTGCAATGTCAGGCTTCATAGTGGGTGCAATAACTAAGGAGAAGGTAAGTGCCAAACTTAGGGAACCTAGTTGGACATCCTGAAGTACATTTATAAGCTGTGAAATTTTCAAGTTAAATAATATGAATGTCATATGAATCATCTTGCAAATATTTTACAAGTTTTCCATTGTCAGTAGCATGGACCAAAACCAATTATAATCATTCAGAAGGGCAGCATCTTCCTCCCCAACCCTAAAAAACCTAATTTCAGCACCACTTCTACAAGCATTTAATTAACACAGGTGTGCAACAGACAAAAGAAACTGCCTGAATGATTGCATTAACAGAAGAAATGCTAGAGTACAATAATCATTTATGTTCAAAATTAAATATGCAAAAAGGTTTCGGTCCCTTTGTAACACATCTCACTGCAAATCTGGTATACAGCTTGTTTACTTTAGCCTCCAGGTCAAGAGCAAGCATTAGAAGCACTCAGTTAACTAGGCTCATTTTATGTTTCTAGATGATTATCATGCACAATTTAAAAATTTAACAATTTCAAAACAAAAAATCTCTAAAATTATCAAAAAGCTTCATTATAGCTATACATCCGTTGTCCAACAAATACCGTAACCTATTTACACTTTCATCCACCAATATTTTAAATAACCTAACATCACCCAGTATGAAAAAATGTTGCCAGTGGGTTAAGAAGTAACAATGGGGTTACCTACAATGGATGCTGTGGCTGACAAGTTTTGGAAAACTTACTCTTTGCACAGTATACTGATGTCCATGACTAAGATGGAAGGCAGAATGATGAACAATTACATATATGTGCAGCCCAGTCATGAAATTCTTAAGAAAGAAAAATTCCTTTGTAACCCTAGAAACTATCAATTTTGAAGGGTTCTGATGATGGTGTAATACAATCTGGATTGTTGGTTGGGTTTTTGTACCTAGCCCGTCTTCTGATGTTATAAAACACATAATGTTTCAAGAACTGGATCTATCCTCATCTTCAGGTGTAGTGAATGGGACACTTACTCTGTGGGGGACCAGTGATACTGTGTCCAGTGACTGGGATTAGCTCATTGTAATGGACCCCACAGAGTAGGTGTCCCCTTCACTACACCTGAAGATGAGGACAGACCCAGTCCTCAAAACACTGTGTTATGTGTTTGTATGTGATGTGTTAGAACATTGGAACTTTCAGTTCCTTCATAAAGAGATGTGGAATTACACACTGTCATTTTCAGAATGGACTGGCAGAATGGAAGATCATCTGGGAAACTGGCGCAGCAGTATACATATTTACTGCTATATTGTTCTTCATGTGGGGAACTGGTGAAAGACAAGAATGGAATGACAGTGGTGATTCTACAGTGCCTGAAGATAATTCTAAGGCTGCATCTCAACAAACACCAGAAACATAAATAGCAGAAAAACAAAATCACCAAAAATGATTATTCAGAATTAAAACCATATTAAACATAAATAAGATTTAGTTGCACTGATTATTCAAATTTAAGATTAAAATGACAACTATTTTACTATGGTAGATATTACATAGAAATAGTTAAGTAAATGAGAAACACAAAAGTCTGATCATGATATTCCATCATCCATCAGGGTGATGATAATGATGGAGGCAGTTTACCAACATTTCAGAAGTACTTGCTGCCTCCATCCTCGTTGCCCTGATGATAGAAGCAGCAGTACAGTTAAAAAACCTAGGGATACACAGGCCAATCACAGCGGCTATGCATGGTCTAAGGTATGGGGTTTGACAGCTGGTATTGTGGGTTCAAATGACAATCAGGGCACGAATGTTTGTCCATGTCTTTCTGTGTTGTGCTGTCTTGTGTACTGTAATCCCTCATCCAAGGAGTCCTACCAACTGTTGAGAATATGGTTTCAAACCTTCCATAAGGATGTGGCCTAGGTTCCCCAAGAACAGTAGAGTCACAGATAAGAAATAAAGGTTGTGAAGACGTGACATGGACTGTGCTGGCTCTGGACAGGACCAAAACACAGACTAACATGAAGATGGTGATAAATAGTCAACATAACAAAGAATATCTTCAAACAACATGAATCACTATCAAGACAATCCTGCAAGATGGAGGAAAAGAGGCATAGCTGAGCATTTCAGACTTTTCATTAAATAACTAGGAATGAAGCACCAACTGGAACAGCTGAAGATATGGGGCCCTTATGTCAACATTATGTATATTTGTAAAATTACCTCTGCAAAAGCAACATGCCACAGAGACATATAGATGATGTGCAGATAAAGATAGACACATTCTCCACTTTAGTAACAAGTAACACCAAAGGTCAGTTTTACACTCACACAAATATACCCTCCAGAGAAAGAGCCTCTAAATGATTCTGAGAGGAGACTACATCAGTTCCTGAGATATTCTGGAAGTGTTAATGAGGAGGAAAGACCCAGTGCTCTTACTGTGATTTAAACCCTGGCTGTCTATTCCACAGCCAGTCACATTACTGACTGATCTACCATGAACCTATGCTCACATGCAGCCATCAATTTCAAGGATGGGCACATTGTCGAGATGGTCATATAATGAAATCAGGTGGGTACAGATTCAAAATGTTAAAACTGTATTCCAATACCAGATATTAGAAAATGGTGGAACTTTGGTGGCACAATTTTCATGGCTAACAAATACTTCAATCTCAAAAAAAAAAACTTCACTTGAACCACAAAAGTGACTATAACAAATGTGAAAACAATATAATAAGTAATGTTCTAACCAAGTTGCACTATAAAATGTAAAGATACAATTTTTATTATATGTATTTATTTTCACAATGTTACAATATAAAATTAATTGTCTAAACTTCATTATGTGAGATTTAAATAAGTTCTTACAATAGCATTTTCTAATAAAAATGCATTTATATATAAATATATATATTTAAGTGTTAAATATTTATTAATGACAACAAAACGGCCTCATAAAAAACAAGACAAGACTAGAATGCAACATACAAGAAGCTCTTGCATGCCATGTTTTTGCTATCATCATACATTTATAAAATAACCCACTAAGTGGATGGATATCAGTCTTATTTTTTTTAATCAGGTTTGAACTGGGGCAGATTCCACACTCTAAGGCACAGTATTTTGTTACTTCCACAGTTCAGAACTGTATGCGGTACTTACCAGTGCCTGGCACTGACCTAGCACTACTGCTGTCAGCAGAATTTGGTTTGTTATCCCTTGTAAGAGAAGAACCCCTCCTGGTACGAGGACCAGGAATCAGCCTTAATTTTGAGTCATCTCCTCCAGCCTTCACTCCATTTGTGTTTCCTCCCTGTCCTACCCGTGATGTACTACCAGCTTTCCCAATGGAACGACTTTCACCATCACTAAGACGTCCATACTCGCCTAGCTTCCTTGGAGGTGGGATGTGGGAGCGTGCTGGCGATTCTCGCCCCTTTGGTCCTGTCACATCTGATCCTTCACATGATGTTGCAGGTGTCTTCCTTCCTTCACCATCACTGAGTCGACCATATTCCCCTAACCGACGCTCCTTGCCTCCTGCAGGTTTGTGTGTTCGCCGGGGACGCGGCAAGGAACTAGGAGGCAGGCTGCCTGATCGGTTACGATTGTTTGGGGGACCTCCTCCTAAGCATGATTCTTGCATCCTTTGCTGCTGTGAACTACGACCTTGCTTCTCCAGCAATAGAATTTCTTCAGGTCGTCCCTGCTCATAACGATTAGGTACTAAACCTTGTAGAAAACCAGGTTCAAATAAGTGATGATGGGGTGATGCACCCCCTACACCCGCCAGTAATGGCTTGGGTAGTTTTCCTTTTCGCGGCGTAGTGCTTGTATTAGAGAATCCTGGAAAACAGCAAAGACCGCGCTGAAAAGGAAGAAAGAAAGAGAAACAAGAGTTGGGACGGTCCAGGAACCATGATGAACGGTTAAGGTTAGTGGCACACCACACTGCATGCGCCAGTCAGGCAGGTTACATGAGGGAGAGCTGTGCACATTCTGTTCATACACGGTGCAGCAAAAAATCACACAAGGCAACACAGAGCTTATTTGTTTTCATAACCCCCATAATTACTGTAGATGGTGGTAATATTAGAAATCTAAGGCTAAAATTACATTTCATTTCTGAAACATGAAACCCTTTGCATGCAGAATGAGTTCAGTATTTACTCACACAACCTATTCTCTTGCATTTTTCATCCACATAATTTTCCCACCTGGTATGCTTCCATCACTGGATTTTTAAAGTAAGCAAACTGCATGTTTAGAATCTCTCTTTTCAACATATAACTACCATTTTGATTAAACTGAGTTACTAGCCATAAAGGATGAAGAAGTTGCCTAACATTTTTTAATTTACAATAAGGTAAATGGAAAATGTTCCTGCACTTCACTTCTTATGTAATAAAATTATATCTTTTTCTTTATTCACTACTGAAATTATGCTTTCAAATTCTATCATGACTAAGTATGCAACTCCTTCCAAATTTTCCCTTATAATTTAAAAATTGACAGAAAATGGGGAAGTAATTATACAAATACATACATAAAATTAAACAAAAAATTAACAGTACACAATAAAGAATAGAATATCAACAAAACTTGGTTTGAATACAAGACTGTTTATATATATTTGTATTTGTGTTATTCTGTGGCTATTATTTTTAGAAGGGAAGGGTATAGAATTTGTTTAAAAATTTAGAAGTAAAAGTAAAGAAATTTCAACACATTGTTCCCCTACAACAAACAAATGTTAGTCATATCTTTGAAATTCATATTTACCTTACCAGTTCTCTGCTATTTTTATTTTCACAAAATATAATTCACATCAAAATTTTCTTGCATACTTATTTCTGTATTCTCAAAAACTTCACATCTACAGCTTATAAATGCCCTAGATTCTAACATGCACAGCCCAAATCAGGACAAGGTGTTATACACAGAATAAATATACAAAAATAGAAACAAAAGCTGGACAAAATAGTGCATTTGTTCATACAATGAACAAGTATAAGACAGTTCCTGCCCAGTACAAAAATACAATAAAATCATGCATATATTCAAACATGCCATACAAAATTTCTGACTACCTTTTCATGATGTATTATACCAATGTGAATGGGTGGTTAAAAACAAGAGGGCCACAAGTATTGGGGCCATTTAATTATATGTAACTGTTTTGAAATTACACTGAACTACAGTTTAAACTTCAATTATATACCTATCACATCTTATCTGACATTCATAATTCTCATTCTTAGAGTGTTTCTGGGTGTAAATCACAGCATAAATGTTGTAAATAATACCGAAATTGGCATGGATCCATGTGTTGCTGCATTACAAACTGTAAATATATTAAATATTTTGAAAGTGTCCAAACAGTGATGGCCCTTAATATTCATACCTGCCTGTCTTAAAAAAATTATCAACTGTTTGTTAATACAATCTCAACATTTCATAAAACTATCACAAATACCTGAAACTGACTTTATTAATTCACTTCTTCACAACAGATTTCCCTAAGATTCATTTTAATATTAGCCTTTTGTTTGAAACAAAGACCATGACTGCCTCATTCCAAATCATTACACGCAGGACCATTGAACATTATACAGCCTCTCCAACTGTGACAGCATCACTAAATAATCTAAAAATCAATCCATCTGACTCAGTCCCTCATGTGCTTTACAAGATGCTTATCCATCAAAATTCTAACTGTATTTCTTGTTTCCCTACTCACATTACTTACCTTTCCTGTATCTTGTCCATGATTTGTTGGTTCCCTTTTTTTAAACTTCCTCCATTCCCTGACATCTACTCATCAGATTAAAATATTTTCCTTTGCAAGTTGTTTTGTATTATCCTTACAATTATGGATATGAATCATAATGACCTCACTCTTGTTTCTAATTTTTCCACTTATGGCTTTTTTGTGTGTCTACCTAGGATCTGTCTGTAGGATAAAGTTAAAGGAATCACTTTTAAGACAGAAGAGCCCATAGGGCTCAAATGTTTACTCCTAGTGAAACTCTGGTGATAAAGACCATGCTCATAAAGACGACTATGAACTCCTGTACAGGCCTGGAATTGACAAAGTTTTGACTTTAACTGTAATGGAAGTATGAATGGACAAAAATCAGAAATAATTTTGATCAGTTTTACCAACCTCTTGTGGCAGTCATAGGTGCAGTCATAGGTACAGACCATGAAAAACCATGTAAACTTCTGCCTGCCATGAGACACATGACACACTTTTTGTACACAAATTAAATCTTGGCCAGGAAACCAGTTATAATGAGAATATTACTGGTTTTCCCCAGTTGTTCCAGGTGAATATCAGAATAGTGCCTTAAAAAACCCACTCATTTCCTTGACATCCATTCTATTAATATCATCCCATCTCATATTAATGTCTTCCTAATGACCACTTTATAATAAATTTCTGTCTAGTTCTGAACACCATGTAGATGTAGGCTGCGTTACTGATGTCTCTAAGATACTGTCTCCCTCCACATTTGCCTTCAACACAAATAGGACCTACATTAACATTTAACTGCCAAGAAAACCTGAAATATTATATACCAGTTCATCTGACTAATTAAATTTTAATGTGTATTCTCCATATCTGTAGGCCAATGAATCAAATACAAGTAAACCTCCTTCCCTTCATGAGGAATTAAACTTTCCACCCAATCCACAGTGCAATACACATGCTCGTAAATAACTACAGTATTCTACAACTAAATATGAAACAACAGAGAACTGCCATTTACATATCAACACTTGACACTTTTAATACTTTAGGTGGTAGTGCATAGTTAATGCATTTATAAAATAAGCCTTGTTAGGAGTTGCCACCACTGAGGACTGAATGTTTGATGTTACATTTTAAATTTCACAAAAAAAAATTCTTCAAATTCTCTCCCTTATTTTGCAACAATGCAATTTTAAATCGATTTAATATTTCATACGTGACAAAATTTACAAACTACATGAGGTGCATGTCACATACCTCAACCAAAACATAATCTTTCTCCTGCAATACCACTTTCCATTACAGGCAGATGTATGATATGGTAGTAGTTACAAAAATAAAAATGTCCTTTCAATTTTCATTTGTATGTACTAGCAAAGTCCTACATATTAGAAGATAAGAAATAGCTTAGAATTTGTAGAAATACAATCCAAATATCATCCAGAAATGATGCCAAGTTTGATCATTTATATTTCAGAAACAATGTAGCTTCATTTAGAAAATAAAATGAGCTATGAGAATTTAGATGCAATGAAACAATTCTGAAAGACCCTAAAGGAAATATGCTGTTTCCTCATTCTTTCAACCATTCTTTGAAACTAGTAATATAAACCTCAAAACAGCAATTACTGTATGTTATTTTGAATTATGACTGTTTATTTCATATAGATCACCAGGAAATTATTCTTTAGAACAATTTTTACTGTTAGATTCACTACCCTAATTATAATAACATCACCAAAAGAACAGCACATTCTATATATATATATATATATATATATAGCAGCAAATTGCAATTCACTCACCAATCTGCAGCCTCAGACATGCACAGTAGAAGTGGCAACCCCATTTCAATGCAAATGAAGAACAGGTTCACCTGACCAGAAGCTCCTACCTTACTCAGAAGCTGAGAGTCAAGCTGAGAGTCCAGTTCCTTCAGTTGATCATCCAAAGACTTCTTTGTATCATCAAAACTCTTATTAGTTGTGCTGCCATACTTGCATGTGCTATAGCTGGTACCCAAAGGGTGATGGTATGCACCAGAGTCACTACCAGCATAAGAACTGATGCCTGTACTGCAGCTACTTGTTAGCACACTGCTCACTGTAGAAAACACACCTGTCGTTGACACAGGATCTACGACACAAAATTTTAAATGTTAATATCATCTTCATCTGGTGAGGGTTTTAAACATTTCACCAAATGGCATGAGACAAGGCAAGTTTGTCAATTGAAACGCTCATAAGCTGAACTTTATAAAAAGAAACACAGAGCAATAAAAATCAAACATTTCTATGCAAAAAACTTTAAAAAATATAAAACGTGTAGGTCATGTAATGATTCCCTTCCTATGCAAAATCTCATCCCTGCAAGATACACAAGGACTGTCTGAAATTTCCCCTTTCTGGTATATACAAGCATGTCTGTTAGTGCAAAGTTTATTTGTCCCTATATACTGTACATGTACAATGTTCTGAGACCACTAACGTCTATAAAAACTTTCAATATGGCCAAACTCTGTCTTTGGCAGTTAATGGATAACCTCCCTATGGTTGCACCCACTTCATAACTGCCAAGCACATACAGACATGATCAAAAGACTTCAGGCATTAGAAAAGAAAAGAAAATATAACTCAAATGTTGATTAAAGGATCACAGGTACAAATTGCTTGCAAAAGGTCCTGCTTCAGAAACAAAAACATCACATTTCAACAAGTTCATTCCTTCACAATCTTCCCCATGTCCCTCTCCATTCTTTCTTTAAATTGTTACGTATGTATGACCATATCAGCAGTCAGCACTGATGACCATGTCTGCCCTCAGGTCTACTGGCATGGTCTCCCAGCAACATGTCTGACAATTGCCTATAAAAGGTGGGGTTTTGGAAGTAAGACGTCAGAGGCTCAGGGACAAACACACACACTTTATTTCAACAGAAATGATAATGATTTCTTACCTAACTCTTCTCTAGAAACAGATGTCCCAAGTACAGCTCCTAGATCGGAATTACCATGCAAACTTGGGTGAGGTGTGTGATGAGGTGAACGTCCTAACATGCTTTGATATGAAGAAGATGAGACATCCTTCTCATACGTATGTTTCTGAAGAACGCGAATCATTGCATCACGTTCTGCAAGCTTTGATTCAAGATCCTTCATCCTGAAATGCAAAGGAATACTAATCCAAGCAGCTCTAATTTAGTGCACTTCCAAGCACATTTCTTTGTTTCATATCAAAGAATAACTTCCCACAGAAGATACTGCTCAAGATACTAATCAAGCACCTGCAGATCATTTTTCCAACAATTAACCTCCAATAAACCCACTAACCATTAAGATTTTGCATGTCACAGAAGCATTGACTTACACTTTCATATACAGCACAGAAGTATTCTTATCCCAGAGAAGGACTACTAGTATATTTTGAGAAATTGGTTTTAGTTTAGCACACAATGTTTCTGGAAAACACCAATGCATACTGTTTCATTTGACTGCATATAAACAGTTCCAGAAGATCATGTGCCCTCCCTTGGATACAAATTTATGTAATATTTAACAGTGTCAAATGTGATAAACATACATTTGATGCGGTCAACTAAATAAAAAATGTATATGCTTATGCTATTGGCATTAAAATATTTCATTTAAAAATTTTTACTTAAAATCTATCCTTGTAAAGAAATGCTGCTCACAATACGAAATCTGCACTCATTAAAAAAAATCACATCCATTATAAAGACAGCATTCCTGGGGAAAAAATTTACAATTTCTGGGTACAAAACCAGATGGCAGATAATAAATATGGCTTACAATGCAACGGGAGAAGTTTGACAATAAAGAACTTATGCATTTGAGAAAACACTAATAAATAAACTCAGAATACAAAAAACTGGAAACTGAACATAAATGTTCTTACAATTAAGAGATACAACTTTTTACTACACCATCTACTTACATCAGACAACAGGGAAGGGGGGGGACACTAACAAACAAACAGTACCTTGACTCAAGATCAGCCACCTTTTTTTGCGCAGCGTGGACTTCATCCATGTGTCTGATTTTCTCTGAACGGGCCTCAGCAATTAATTTCTCTGTCTCCTGACTTGTCTTCTCTAGGGCAGCAATCTTAGCGTCCCTTGAAATAAATTTTCAAATGTACCAAACTTTGTAACAACAGAATTCAAATAATAATCACTGAAATATTTTCAATATTTCTTTATCAGTGTTTATACATCATGATCTAAAGCAGTGGTATTCAATCTTTTTTTGTTCGCATATCCCCAGATATAATTTCTCTTCAACTTTGTACCCCCAAAGTTGTTGGTGTATAATTCAAGTTATACATAGTATATAATTTACATCTGAAATAAATTAAATATATTACATTACTGATTATTCAGTGTTAATCATAAAATAATACTTTTTTTTTAAATTTCACGTACCCCTTAAGATGTCTTCGCATACCCCCGGGGGTACGCGTACCCCAGGTTGAATACCACTGATCTAAAGCATACACTTCACAACACTAAGTTATGGTACATGGCTTACTTTGGAATGCTAGCCGCATCAATGGCTGCCTGCCTGAGTGCGCTTTCCTCTAAATATCGCTGCTCCCACTTAGCTACCTCTCCTTCAAGCCTCATGATCTTCTCATCACGCTCACGCAGCTTACGTTTTAGTTCAGGTGCTGTCTCCCCTGGCAGAGCTCCATTCTGGGAACCATTTGTTCTATTTCCACCTGAACTGGTATCACCTTCATCTGTACCTCCTCCCCCTGCTCGAGCTCGCTCGTTACGAAGTTCTCTTTCCAATTGTAATCGTAGCTTACGTTCTGTTTGTTCTCTTCGATCACTTGCCAACTGCAGCGATGATAATGCCCTCTGTAACTGTGCTACTCGCTCAACATACATCTGTTTCTTGCGGCACTAAAATCGAGACAAAGAATGTAATTATGTGATGCCACTGCTTATATGCACATCAATGGAAAACAGACTAACGTCTGCACTGTAATATGAATCAAATCAGCAGCCTGAAATTTTTCACTTTGCAAAATCAACAAACTCTATTACAAATAAGAATAAAATATTGAGCTGTCCATCTCCACATAACAGAAACTTGCACAACCTTTACAAGTTCATACACTTATTTCATTTCACACTTCTGGGCAACATGTTTCAAACTTACTGGTTCATCTTCAGGCCCTTGACTTGTTTCACAAATTACACTATTACATTAATTAATATAGTCATTTATATGTTTGTTCTATTTTCAAATCTTGTCACAAGCCTTGTATTGTTTCACATTTAACCCCTTCTTGATTATTTCTTATTATTCGTAGGAACTTCATCTCTACTGTTTGTAACCTGTTTACATCTCTTTTATACTGAGCCTGAGTCTATGTTCCACATGTCAAAAGAGACAATAACATATCATAAAATAAACTTTCTGGAGGTATGTATTTATGAATTCAATGATATTCCATTAACAGAAGTTTACTATTTCAAGTATTCAATTTTTGTAAAACCACTTAAACTTGGTTTTGGAGCAAAATAGTAAACTAAATGCACCTCACCTCTTCTTCAAGTCGAACCACATTGCCCTGAGCATTTGTTAGAGCAGTGTCAAGGATGTCTATGTGTGTCCTCTGTTCCTGAAGTGTCGCACGCTGAGCTGCCAGCTCAATTTCTTGGCGCTCTTTTGCAGCAACAAGTTCCTTATCTAGCAGTAAAAAATTATTACTTGCAAGAACATTTCATTTCTGATATCCACTGGACTATTTATATATGAAGAAAAAACAGATTACTATTTGTATCAAGAAATACACACAAATAAAACTGAATCATGGTTGATACAAAAACTAGACAATCCAAACCCATCATAACAACGACAAAGTTGACAAATCAGCTGGTCTCTCAACTAGCACAATGGCAATCTCACAAGGAGAGTCTGCACTTTTTCTTTACATATCATAAAACAAATGATGCATAAAAATCTGAAAAGGCAGGTAACAGTCTAAACAAATTTGTTCTGGTGATTCAGGTGCAATTACAGAAACACAAACTGAGTAAAACACCACAAAAAAGACAAAATACAGCAAATTATAGATGTTCTTACTTTGTGTAATAAGTTGTGCAATAAAAATTTCACGTTTTCCCAGTTCCTTCCGAAGATTCTCAGCTGCCATATCCTGCAAATCACTCTGATTCTGTTGCCGGCCTGTTTTTAACTGCGTCGATAAAAGTTCCACCTGTTCACGCAGAGCCCTGTTCAGTTCTTGTAACCTACGGACATCTCCTTGTAAACGTGACCTGGCAGCTCTCTCCAATCGCTCACGTCGTTCTGATGACTGTACAAGTTCTTCATGTGCACGATGAACCTTCCCCACCTCCTGTTCCAGCTGCAATTTTAAAACATGCACTCCACTATGATAGTGTAGAAACAATTTCCAATGGCAGTCATGAGGGAACAGATATAAAACTAACATCTTCATGATATGAAATGAACAAGGTAACATCCTGAACTCATAATTGTTCAGACAATGTTTTATATTTCCTTCCATAATAACGCAGTCTATGCAAAATAATGGGCATCAAATGGATGCATAATGAAAAGAATGTATCTATCCATCCAAATGTTTCATCTCTTTAACTATTCTATGGATTCTGATAGAAACTGATTTTTGGGATCTATACTAGATAAACAGTCTATGTTGGCTGTAATACAGAACTGAGGAAAATAATCATGTTGCTTATCCATTCACGTAAATTCCCCAATAAATACATTCACATGTCTGAATCCTACAAGAGCATATATTTATTTCACAGAATGGAAATCTCTTTAACTTATTACCTTCTGTGATTTAGAAACTTTCTGATAACATGTTTCAAGTTCAGCCTTTAATGAGCTGTTCTCTTGCATCAGTATCTCCACCATCTCGGCTGGAGGCCATACCTCTCTTCCCTGAGATTCAACATCCTCCCGTCCATGAGTTTTTGGCCTGAAAATATTAGCATTGACACTTTAATTAAGGATACCCTTGTAAAAAAAAAGCATTTTTTCACACCATATCACATACATGAATCAAATGAAAATGAACAGGTAAGAAGAAGCAACTCTGAACTGGCTCTTAATAACATAAGGTTCACATTGGAACTATTATACAACATTCAATCAAAACAATCCATCATACACTATGACTTCAACATTATTTTTAAAGTTTTTATACTCTTGACTTCAACAGCATTTATTAATTTTAAAAATGACACTGATGACGACAATGACAGATAGACTTACTATAAAATATTGCTACAGCAGTTACTCATACATTTACCTTGGACTGGTGGTAATGCCCCTGCAGCCAATCACATCAGTCACAACCTTTCCCGCACCTAAGCGTGATAGGTCAGGCTGTGATCGTGACAAACTAAGTTTATCTGGTGTGATGCTGGAGTGAGGAATAATTTTATGTCTCTGCACCACTGTCAGAGGTGAAGATGAACCCATCCATTTTCGATACTCAGGTGGAGGTGGCAGATTTGAGAGGTCATAGTCTAGAGGTAGGAGAGGGTCATGTTCCACTTTAACAGGCATTTCTTTCCCACTGCTGCCACCCGGGCCTACACGAGAAAGTGACAACCGTTTCAATTGGTCTGATAAGCACAGATTCTCAGTCACAGATGATTCGCTATCTTCAACAAATGGAGCAGCTAAATCCCTTCCACCTGTCCCACTGGATGATGGAACAACCTTTACTTCCTTGGCTAAATGCTTCAGCACCTACAATAAAATGATTAATAAACCAAATCAATAGTTGTATTTTTTAAAAAGTCTAAGAACAATATGTAGGCCTAGGAGGAATGTGAAGTCAGTGGAAAAGAAGACATAATGAACATAAATTTTGCATTAATAACTCAAATAATGTCAATATAATTAAAGCAGACTGGCTGATATAGTCTGAATTTATTTTTAGGACAATAATGTGAAGCCTACTGAAACAATCACAAATAAGTCCCAAAGGCAAAGTTGGTTATCAGGAGATCTAAAGATAGTTATTTGGGAGATGGCATAAAGGATTTGACGAAGCTAACGATTTTTAACTAAAAGAAGGAGGCACTGGAGAGAAAAATATGGAGAGATGCACAACTGGGTTGTAGAGCCAAGGAAAAAGAAGAAGATCAAAATCCAGGTGGTATATCTCACATATGGTATCCCACACAAAACGACCAATAGCATAAGGAAAATAATCTTGTAAATACTTTTAAGAAATGGGCTTCCAGGGTAATTTTAAATTATTTCAAGCCAAACTTTCCTACATTCAAATAAGAAATTCCTTACCTGGGACTGACTGAGATAGTCATCAGGAATGTCTGTGATTTCTCGAACACTGGGATCAAAATGCCGACCCGAACTGGCATCAAAACTGGCACGAATAGAAGGCTCCTTGTTACCTCCAAGAGAAGGAGAAGGAGAATGGGAACCCATCTTCTGACACTGAACAACAGCTTTTCCAGTGTCTGTTGTACTGGATCCAGAGTAATTTCCTGGATGGGAGTTCAAGTAACCTGGTGTACCTGTGTCTTGAAGATCACGAATGCCTGATAACCTGCAAATTCAGTAGTTTGGCAACTATCAGTTTGCAACAAAGCACACAGTGTCACCTCTCTGAAATATAGAAAGAATATTTCTTGAATTTGTTTTCCACAAGTACCAAAATTTCCTGTAGTTATATTCCCTGTTATTCAAGCTCGATATTGTCAGTTCTGAATACAATCAGGTTCACTAAACATGATTTACCTACCACTCCAAGACAAGTCATTCCCATTACATTTTATTCAATTTTTATAAATTATGAACATCTGATATGTTAAAAGTGGGAAGCGAGAAAAAGTAAGAATGATCTACAATAGTGATTTATTCTTGACTGAGTTACAGTTTATTTAATACGTAGTAGCAATTGTAGTGGATATGTAACATCAAATGGGATGCATGGACAATCATCAATTACAAGTACAGAAGGTTTTAGGTGGCAGTCATAACCCATTTGAAAACCATATACTGGTATATACCTGCAGGTTCTGAGCAAATCAAAAAAAAAATTGTTGGAATAGACATATCACGCTAAAAATGTTACAATCAAATTAACCTACCTGGTTTCCTAACAAGGAAAACACCAAATTCATAACTATTTGTCATTACTGTTGGTGTCAGTGTACTTCCACAAGATGGGGAAAATACCAAAGTAATGTCTTTATAACAGCATGTACAAAACCAGTATGACTAAATAGACTATCTTGCTACAAAACACAATAAACATTTTAAAATAATTATACTGATTGACATGCAACTAATTTAAACTCTGATGACACCAAACATATCTACAATTATTGGACTCTTTGTGTCCCTTAACATAAATGCTACACACAATCGAATTTTTACAGAGAAAAACCAACACAAACAAGAGTACTCAGAGACTGGATTCATGTGTTCTGCAATTGATTAACTAATCTTGTACCTGCCAGTCCAGGGTTCATCCCCTGCTCCATGAATAATGAGTGTATTATATGAAGAGGAAGATACATCAAGACTGCTGCGATTTGAGCTGAGGTTCTCCTGGCCCTGGGGCTCCTGACGTGCTGTATGTCGAATCACATAGCGCTCCTCGTGACTCAGGTTCTCATTTGATGTTGACACATCCGTCTCGCTACCACTCAAACTCTGGGAGAATCCAGCACTGGGATGGACAACTGCACAAAACACAGAGACATGACAATTATCAGATCTTAACTCATCTACATAAGATTATTTTCATACTGACACTTTTAATTAACACACAGAACTTCATCAACTAGATCCATTTATATACCGATTACATGACCTGCAGAGATTGATGCCATGAGAAAACAATAAACTACTATTCAACACCATACTTTAAACAAAAATGACCCGTGAATATCACACATACAGGTCTTTATATATATAAAAAAGTAACCTTTGACTGTTATGAATGTCAAATTACCATCGTGAGTTCAAATATCTATCTCTCTTAGCTGTTAGTCAATATATTAATGTGGTTTAAGGTAAAGGGTAGTTATGGTTATATATTTTTATGATAAATGCATAGAAGGTTTATTGAAATGTGTAGGAATTTATATTATGCAGATTTCTAAATGCTCATAACAGGGTAATTATTACTTATCAAATAACATACTGATATATAATTTTTTACTGACAATGAAGGGATTAACACAATAAGAAACAAACCTCTGAAGTCACAAAACATCAAATCAATATGCTGCAAAAAAAAGAGAACAAATAATTTTAAAAATCTTACATTGTCAATATTTTATAATATTCCACAGCTTAATTTCTTTCTTCTTCTTCTTCTTCTTCTTCTTTACTGTGTAATATATTTACACTGTGTACACAGCAATGAATATAGAGAGTGTTAAATTTTCTACAATATATAGACTACAAATAATAATTTACATATAGCCGGACTAAATATGAAACATGAGACTTTCTAACAGAAAATTAGCAATTTATCTTAAAAGTACTAGGCATATTATAGATTTCTGCACGCAAAATTATTCCTTCATAAACAGTTCCTGATCCTACGCATATATCAGCTACACACTGGAGGTATAATACATATATCAGCTGAATACACAAATTCGTAGAAACAAATCAAGTATTTTAATGATCACTGGTAGTTTAGCACAGACGAACATAACCAGTAAGATATCCGTAACAACCGATTGGTCTTTAATACAAAAAAGGTAAAAACTAAATGTATCTTTCCTATTACCTTGTCCAGGTAGAAGCTGTGCTCTTTGAGCACTACCAGCAAATGGAATGAATCGACTTGATTGCTGCAGAGAGCTCATATTCAGTACTGACTTAAAGTTGTGGAAGTTTTGATGCAGTACAGAACTAGACGCCACGACTCTCACAGCAAACACTGCCGATGACTAGAGTTCACTTCTAAAAATCTGCGGCTCTTACACTGCTATGTCAAAACCCATCTGGAAATAAAGAACAATAAATAATTGTATTTTAATATATGTAAAAATCTGAACTAAAACTAGAAATGTAAGTCTGGAAAATAAAATGCAACCCCATAAGTCTTGTCAAGAATTGACAGGTTTAAAGATGTAAAAAAATTATGTTATACTAGAATCACCCAACAAGTCAATAAACAAACCATTGCTTGTATGCTACTTAGCTTACAATTAGTCTTCAAGTAACAATGAGAAGGGAGTGAAATGATAACTAATAAATCACTGGAGATGAACAACTTGGTACACAGGTATATCATAAACATACCTATAAATAATATAAATTTTCTCATCAGTTATTGTTCTTGACTTGATTGATGATTGACTGCATAATTAAATCCTGCTTAACTGCATTTTTAATTATTATATTTGTATGATTATGATGATGATAAGTCAATGTTTATGATGTTATAATAATTTCATAGTTTGGCACTCTCATAATTGTTGAATTACAAACATTACCTCATACATTCTACTATTGCCTATAAACATGGAAAACCTAACATTAACATCACAAGACTTTGCGACGCCCATAGTCGCGAAACGCCTAGACGCCACACTTAGAGCGGGTAAGCTGTGGAACACTTTAAAAATTATTTTCGAGAAACGACCCCAATATTTGGTGCGAGGCTTATCACAGACTATTGCAAAAACGGGATGGCCTTTCGGATGTCGCACAACCGACGCCGAGCGTCGGAACGTTATTCTTGGCGATGCCCCATGAGACGTCATTCTCGAAACGGTCGTCCTAAAGCCATAAGGCACGATGCCGGAAACCAGACACTCCTATTTTTGAAGATCACCTTCGTAACGACAACACGATATATAAAGTGCAACTTAACATCGAGACCGGTGTACAGACGTCATAAAAATAACGTCGACAATTGACAGGCATGACACAAACGCCGACGTCGATTAGCAACTTAACCCAACAAACCTAACGCAACATAACAAAACCTAACCCAACCAAACCTAACCTAACTTACCCCAACATAACCTAACTGAACCCATCCTTCTCAAGTAGCCCAATCATTTGGAATGAAATTGCCCTTACTTATGAATGAAGTTTATCTATAAGAGGCTTCAAACTAACATGAATATGGTCACTCAGTTTAACAAAGTTAGGTAGATATAAGACTGAAAAAATTGTTCTTGAATGAAGCTTAGAATATATAAAGGCCGATTTTCATCAAAACATTGGACTTGTCTTCTTATGATCTTGAGGTGACGTTAACATATCCATGACCTCAAACTGACATCATTATAGTCATTCAGGTTCCCACAGATCGGCAGAAAAATGCGTTTGAAAAAAATGACTTTCGAAATATAATACCTTGAAAATATAAAATACCTCTATTCGGAAACCCTACTGGGCCGACTTTGACGTAACGTGACGTGACGTGACTTTGGTGTGACCTTGACCTATACGTGACCTCATGTTGACATGAGTATGGTCAACCAGGTATTTACCGTTTGGCAGATATATGAGTGAAAAGATGACCTTGAGAATTTTAAAGACCCGTATCTGAGAAACTAGTGGGCCGATATTGCCGTGACTTCCATATGACCTTGACCTCTACCAGACCTCATTTTCACATGAGTATGGTCAACCAGATATTTACGGTTCGGCAGAAATAAGCGTGAAAACATATGACCTTGAGACTTTTAAAGACCTGTATCTGGAAAACTATTGGGCCGATCTTGTTATGACTTCCATATGGCCTTGACCTATACGTGGTCTGAATAATTTGTCCATTACCGAGTTTTCACTATATTATACACAAATAATACATTTTTACGCAAAGTGGTATACAGTATAGTTTGATCAACATTCAGTTTTGTTGACAAATTTCAGCAATGACTCTACAAATTAAATTTCGTACAAAACCGTCATTTCATAACGCAGATATTAGAGAGGCCTGCATACATAACGAAGCAAATACTGTCACGCACTATTGCAAAAGGCGCCTAAACCGAAGATAATCAATTACATAAAACACCAGACATGTAAAATTATTAATATGTGATTCACTTCAGATCTATAGCCGACCTCGGACACCATCTGCTGGTACCCGTACTTCGGCTGTACGCAGCTGTATACGTATATGTTGTACGGGAGTATCACTTCAACTGCCTAATCATTATGCAATTGTTTCGTACATTCTTTACAGCTTCAACATGAAAAATCAAGGTCAATGAATTTGCGATGGCATGTCTATCGCGAGTCTATTTGAATCACAAATGTGCATGACGCAAGACAAACTTCAAACCCAAAGCTTTACGTCAGCGCAAGAAAACAAAGCTGGCAATGATAAGAATGTTCACGACGGTGTTTAGAGGATCGTCTTGACAACACTTGAAGAAGAAAATGAACATAAAGGAAGATGGTTATGTCATTAGTGGTACAAAACCCAACCTAAAACGTTTCGATATGTTCATTATTTTAAAATGTATTTAGACATGCATGAAGTGGTTTACCGGGTTGTCGAATTCGAAAGCAGTACTAAGAAACCCGCAACTCAGTCCATTGCAAAAAACAAAACTGTGCAGATGGATAAATTATTGGAAGTACAAATGGGTAAATGTCACTGCAACAACAGATAACGGTTCTACTTGTACCAGGATTCGATTCCCAGCAAATGCAGGGTTTTTTCCTCTGTCACTGAGCCCAGACCAGCTCTCAGGCCCACCCAGCCTCCTATTCACTGGGTACTGGGGCCTCCTTCTCGGGGATAAAGCGGCTGGGGCGTGAAACTGACCACTCACCTCCAACTAGCGCCGAAGATGGAAAAATAAAAGATTGAGATCAGAAGTACCTAGTTTTCCCAAACCTGAGACCACGTTCACCCTTGCTTATCGACTCCCGGTGCAGTAATATTACAAATCAGGGCAATGTATAGGATCTCCATGGAAGTTTCTTCAAAAGGCTACTTACTACTGCAAACAGGTTAACATATCGCTCAAAGGGTTCCTTTAACAAAATCAGTCATGCGTGAGACATCACCTGACACTATCTTTCAATATCCGCTCAATTTCTGCTGTTTTCGAATGCATCGCTCGAAGAGTCCTTCAAAATATTCCTTACTGTAATGTCTGAAGGTTAATGGCTTAATGAAGAAAACACCACTGCGGTGCGGAGTGAATTCTTAAAAATTATTTAGACGTTACTGGCTACAAATCATCAAATGCTGTAGGTGCGAATCAACACCATCCAGTTTTATGATTCTGTGTTTCAATGGCCGTGAGACTGAACGGTACATATTGTCTTCGGCTGACGAAACACTGGGTTTAAGCCCACCCACGACATACATTTGCGTTCCACCATCACCGCTTGCACAACCAACTCAGCGCCACGGTACAAAATAGGCGTTCTGCAGATTTTTATTTGGAGTTTAAGAATCCTAGAATTTCATAAAACTTAGGATCTTCACAACAGTCCATACTCACTGTAGAGCTTTCTAGGTATAGTGCCGTGTCTAAATCCTCTGAACGAGGACGTAGCAAGTTTCTCCGAAACGTCGGTAATGTTCATAATTTAGTCCCAAAGGTGCCTGTACAATGAATCCTGTCAAATAATTCCTAGAACTGAATAAACTTGGAAAATCCGAGGGTCGGGGGGAACGCTGCAAGAAAACAAATATATCGCAAATATTAGTCCTGTTACTTTATTTTGTATCCTCGTACAAAGGTCCCACAACCAGATTCAACCCTACGATACTGTCCCGGTATTCTCACGCGATTCTGATGATTACTATGAATATTCCTAAATATAAAACGAATCATAAGTTAATAATTCGCAATAATTAGCTTGCTCATTTAGTATTTATCTTTCACATTCCACAGTGGCATCTTAGCAAACATCCAAAGACCTCAAAGCAACATTCCAAACTGATAAAACATGCGATAAATGTTCTTGTGTGTCATACTAATCCCCCTTTCCAACAGTTCCACTCACACATGTTGAAATAGTCGACATTCCAACAGCTGCGGCTGGCAGTTCAACTGATTGGTCGGTCCCTTCTATGCGGCGGAACCCAAAGCTAACTTTAGTCACGGGAGGGAACCAAATAAAAACAGGGAAGGCCGCTAACAGCTTTCGATTTCAAGTCAAATTTTACATACACTGTGGTCCTTTTCGGGTTTAAATACACAAAGGACCCAGTTTTATCGGTATGTTTTCTATTACATACAGAAGAAATAAATCGGGCCTCAAATGTCAGCATTTTCAACTCATGTTATAAACCAGGGATGGTGGGGGCGAACTGTCGTTAGTTACGTTATTTTTAACGACTCTATAGCAATTCAGCGACGACACGTTTATATATGATGAACTGGTCAGCACCCCTGGTTCGTGTTCGGGGACGTCCAGGATATGATTCTCGGCACAGAATTCGGCTATCCTAACAATTTAGTTGTATTCATCAGTTCATGCAGCAAAATGCCACGGCACTTATCTTTGGTGGCGTCATGACACTTCCACAACCTCTGCTCAATCATCCTACCATTCGATGCTACAAAACCATTATCGTCCTTCATAGCATAACATCTATTGATGTCTGTTTACCTTACTGATGGTACCTCTTTGACAGTTTTCCAAGGTTTTTCTAACTTCTCTTCTCTTTTGGCTGACATTTTGGGGTTTTTTAATCCTGTCATCAAATTCTCAACAATTTATTCTACACTGTACTACAAATTCTGTTACTTATGAAACTCATAATTCGATCAACATTTCTGCACTTAATTTTTGGTCCTAAAGGAACTCCTCATAAAACTGCTGGACATACATTGCAATTAAAAATTGTTATTAAATCATGGACCAATCATCAATAAAATGGAATGGACCAAGGAGGAAGCAGTCATGGACCACCTTGTGACAGGCACCCAAAGAAGAGTACCTACATGCAAAGAACCAAATTGGACTTCACATTCCATCACTCACAATGCCAGGCTTGCTGTCTGAGTTTTTTTGGGAGGGGGGTTACAAAGAACTATAAAAACTATATGTTATTCAACTTCTCATTGTCCACCCTAATTGGTTTCGAAGCAGCAATCAAATGTCTCAAAATAACAGCTGTAAATAAAACTTTCAAGCACTAATAACTATGTGTTATATTAAATATAATTTCAGCAAAACGAAAGGTATCTTCTAACAAAACTTAAGTAAGACTTAATTATTTGAAACAAAGTTCATTGTATCACTGGTTATAATAAATCAAATCTTGTAACAGTACGAATTCTACAAAACACACTACAACTAAACCAAGGGTCTAAAACATTACACATACAATCAGTATGCAACCATTACATGAGCAGTGATTGATTATGTTCCACCGAAAAGGAAGAATTTCTAGTACAAAATGACAGGAAATGAGAAGTAGGTGAAACATTTCAAACGGCCAAGTTTTAAAAGGCACTTATAAGGCTCTAGAAACTGTTAACGTCAGTCGTTAAAAAGAAAATGCCAAATCACACAACAACAAATCACATGCCTGTATATCTAAATAACTTATTTCGAACCGTTAAATATAAACGTTCTCTGCAAACTCGAAACATTACTGTAATGGCAGAGTTGCTTTGGAATTTGTACGACTGTTGCTGTGCTTTAGATGGAACATAAACAATAAGGTTTAGCCTGTAGACTATCAGAATACAAAACAACATTTCCTTACTTACAATAGTTAGAACCGAAAATTCAATATTCTTTGAACCGTGTCATACACATCAAGGCACTTCCACAAATAACAATCAGAATGCAGTCTTTTAATTTCAAATACCTTCACCAGAGTGCGTTAACATTAACATAACATTGGGCGTGCTCATAAAGTAAGATATCTTGCTGAGTTTACACATATTTGGAGCGGCTGTCATTCAATTGAGCGCCATTTTTAAGGACCAGCAGGGGAAACCATTATAGGTAGACGAAACACTGAAAGACCAACATTTCTCCTTCTTACATAATGTGCACAGTGCTAAACGTCAGAATTTGCTCTTAAACTCGAGGTCTGAATTGTAAAAAGGAAATTACCGAGTATATGTAGAGTTGTGCCTAGTCAATTTTGAAGATTCTGTACATAGTATTTCAAGGATTTCTCGTATCACAGCATTTCTATAATACGTTGCGCCCAGCTGCCAGATCCTCTAACGCGTTACAACAGAAATTTCCCATATTAATGAAACAAATCCCAATAATTCTAATTCCTATGTAGTTCACTAATTATGAATAGTTAATACATAAACATACACATACGTATGCGAAACTTCAAAAATTTTAATATGTTCTGGTACATCGATAACAGGTATATTTCGCATAATCATGAGACGGGAACACATTTAGATATCATCTTTGCCGAAGACACTATGTTGCTATGGCTACTCAATATAAGATTGGTTGAGAGGAATCATGGCAGCTTTCGCAATGAAACGTTTATTGCCGGTGGTTTCAAAAGTAAAATTTGGTCATAATGTACAGACAACTCTAGAAAAGTGTAAATGTATATATCCGAGTGCAAGTATGTATACACTTATATACTGCCAGTAATCACTACATTTATAACTAATTGCATCATACTTTACGTGTTAAGTAGAGTAGGTCACTAGATAGGTGAACTCGTCGAACAGGACTTGTTAATGACAGACTTGCTTGCTTTAAGTATAGGATCATGTGCTCACCGGGTGGGGAGGGTTCCCTGACATTTTTATATAAGTCCCATATCGATAAACCATATCCTGCGATTTGAAATCTGTAAACTAGGTTAAATCGGCGGAGTGCCCCATAAAACGTGAAGGTAATGATATAATAATAATAAAAAAATTCTCATTACAGGCAAACATGACAAAAAATATAGAAGCACAAAAACATATGTGAAAATACAATAAAATCAGCAGACAGCATGAGCTCATTGTCGTAACATACAACATTCATTCATTCATTCTATTTTATGCTGTAGATCAAAATACATATAACCCATCAGTGGGTTGTGGGAAGTAAAATAATTTGATTGCAGCTCATGACATGATTTATAGTCCACTACTTTGGATAAGTATTGGCTAACTTTCAACAGGGAACTTCAATTTAAACTATACAGATCTATATTGAAGAATCCTGTTATGGTATGTTATACTTGGTATTAAGGCATACTTCTGTCAGACACAGTTATATTATTCTGAAATGACAATTATAAAGTGGCCATAAGCTGCACTAAAATAATGAAATTGCTTATTTATTATGATGGTTTTATGGTTATATATTTCCATTGACTAATGTCAGTATTATATTTACATATATATAATCCAATTGATCTAAAACGTTACCTAAATTGTATTAATAGGCATTCACATTTATGAAAATGTTATGACTAATGCTTTTCTTGCCCAGATTTTTCTTAAAAAAACTTTACTGACACTATTAAATTGCTTATTTATGAGAAAGTTATGAATTATAAGTAAAGCTGTCCTACATGCTAGGAGGCACTTTGGAAGAGAGGAAGTATAGCTCCTACTCAGTCTTGACCTTGGCATTAGATGGGGTGAGTAGTCAGTATCATGCCTCAGATACTCCTGGTACCCACTGGATAGGAGGCTGAATGGACACCATAACTGGTCTCGACACACGGGTTAGAAGAAATTCCTTCACACCCACTTGGGATCAAACCCTTGTCATCCAGTATGTAGTCAGACACTATACTGATTAAGCTGCCCTTACACATCTGGCTGACTACTGTTCTGTTAGTACATTGACTGCTTTTTACATTAAATTGGTTACCAAGCAAAAAATTGTAGTGGGCATAGCTTTCTGTTCTAAAAAGTTATGGCTGCCTAAGTCATATGGAAACATGGAATTTAAGGTATTTTTTAAGGTTGGTTTCTTGCACTTCAGAACTACTATTTCACAGCTAAATCTTCATATTTTGCAAGACTGATAAATTCTGAAAATATTTATTGGAAGTGAAGGTTCTATCCAGCATGTAGCCCAGCTCCAAACACAGTGGCTGATTATTATAGTATGTGTCATGTTTATTTGATATGTAGTCATCACTCACTTGCAAATAAAGTATATGATAATGCTTATAATACATCCATTTGAAAACAACCTTCACTAAGAATACTGCTACTAACAAATACTTATTGATATGTGATGATGCCACAGCTTTTTTCAGAGTATTATTTCAGACTGGCTATAAGCAAACATGTATATGTCAACACTGATTAAATCAGCAAGCATTATTATGTATTCAGCTATATGTTGTTAAACCACTCACTTAAACTGTATTCAAGCATGAAATATGATGTCAGTCTATATCAACTCTTCACTGAAGAAGTTGATGTGTGAATTTTAAAATACTGTCACTGTGTCTAGTGGTAAGCAGTCCTCTATTCTCACCTATGTAGTTCTTAAATATGGTGTTTAATTAAAAAATAAAATAACTTATTTATAATATCTTGTTATATAATGTAGGGAATACAATTCTTTTATTACAGTACAAGACATTATTTGATAAAGTGAAGCAAAATTAATGCTGTCAGCAAATGACCCAGCAAACAAGGTCTATAAAATCAGCAATAACACCTAGCTTTCTTGGTGACTTGTTAACAACAACAAAATTAATTTCTCCTCTGCAAAAGAATTCCCTGTCTATTAAATACTGTGTGTCTGAACAGTTCTGCATTCCAAAATCACAAATACAGTTATTTAGTACTGAATTAGGGGTCAGGATGATTATTTATGGCAAACTAGAAACAAATTAAAAGTAGCCATAGCCAAGTTCCTGGCATTCATCTGGAGTTTTTGGGCACTTAAGCCAAGCCATGAAATGTATGTCAAGACACATTACTGCTCGAGCTAACATGCAAAGTGATCATCTTTCTAGAGAGACAAGTATAGTTATACAAACATATTTTTCTACCTAAACACATCTCTACTAATGTGGCCATATTCCACATTTAACAGCTAATAAACCACTTCTCTCCATTTCCTTAATGTCCAACTTATAAATACATGACTATCAACAGATTATTAGTTATTCTAGCCAGGGAAAGCAATTCAATGGATATTTCTAACAAAGCAACTTCAAGTTGGGTGTAACTAGAATTGAATATGTAATATTAAAGCTAGACAAAGCTATACATATATATTCTGAAAGTGTCATTTTATTTCCAAATATAATTAATTAATATGCCAGTGTGATGTGTAACTGTAAACAGCTGGCATAAAATAAAATTTCTTTAATGCAGTGAGTTTTTGCTGTGGTCTTATTTTCAGATCATCCCTAGAATGAGGTAGTTTGCAAGTCATAAAATAGCTCTGACATTGCTTATAAAATTTATGCCACTGATTTATATGCATGACCAGCTGCTCAATGAGGAGTGTTGAACAGGCAGGGTGTGATTCATAAGCATGATACAGACAGGACAATAAATGATAGACATGTGTTTTATTCTACTGAATCAAGAACGACTGAGGTTTCCATAGAAAATAGTTAAACATACTGCATAAATGCTTGTTCCAGCACAATCATTCCATTTAAGAACAAAAAGAAGCATGGCCTGTATGCCAGTAACTGGACCAGAAGTGAAAGACCTTTCCTATGAAGATATTATTGAATTAAAACAAAAGAATGAAATAATACTGATTGACGTAAGAGAGCCATCAGAAATTGAAGAGACAGGGAAACTTCCTGGAAGTGTACATATACCACGTAAGTTTTTAACTTTTACAGTCAGTGTGTCACAGGGTATATGCGATCCACAGCCCTGCCAGGAATCAAACCTTATCAAGCCATAGTCACCTGCTTTACTAGCTAAGCTATCTTTGATCTTTCAAGTAAATATACTGCCCATTAAAGTTGTCACTCATTGAAGAATGTATGATATACATGTAGGACATGAAAGCATTTGAGAATATGCTGTTACATATACTCTAAAAATATAACTTATTTTTTTAGTTGGAGAACTAAAAAATGCACTTGAGGTACTGTCTCAAGCAGATTTTCTAAAAAAATATGGTACTGAGAAACCAAAACGTGACGCAAATCTGGTATTTTCATGTCGGACTGGAAAAAGGAGTAGAACTGCGATGGAAACTGCCACATCCATTGGTTTCCTCAAGTAAGTTCAACATTTCAACATTGCAGGACTTATGTATGTTCAGACTTGTTACCACTGCCCATCACATCGCTAGGTGTTTGTTTACAATTACTAATTTAATTGTCACTTCCTCTATTAAATGATGGAAAATTCCAAGGATCTTGTACAGTATGAAGAGATGAGTCACTGATCTTCACATATATTATCAAGACTTTTTTATCCAAAGCAAAAGTATGTGTATATATACTGATAACTAGTCTTGTGATAAACAGATGACATGTTATACTGACCTGTCTTTATTAGATTTACAGAAATATAATTTCACTTTTGTGCCAAATGTAGATTTGAATATTTTCATGGTCTTAAAGAATAGTGTCTGCCAAGGACATATGACCCTATTCCTGAGCAAGAATGTGCCAGTTATATTTACATCATTTTCATATCTATATTTTTGTCTGTTTTCAGTTCACGTCATTATAGTGGTGGATTCACGGACTGGCAGAATCGTCATCCTTCTTAGCTGTATCCTCAAAATCAACAGTGTAGTATTACATCTACTAGTCACAGATGTATCTACAAATAAATCAGAACCACTGAATGAATAAAATAGCAAATTAACTCAACTGAAGGATGTATACTAAAAATAGAAAATCGTGTTATTCAACTTGTAACAAATACTGTCTGATTTAAATGAATTATATGTTAATATTTTAAAGCACTTTTCTGTGTTGAAACCACAAATAAAAATATTAGATAAAACTGCAATAACTTGTTTCCAACAAAACAGGTGTCACCCTCAACATATAGGAGTGATCCCCTGCCGTTACTAGAGTTGTCTTGTAATCTATCTTCATAGCAAATTTAATATTGCCATAGTCCATTACTTATCACTATAAAACTGAATGCTAAATGATTATATCAATCAATCTGTCTGCAGCCTATAATCAGTGATGCTCTTGCTTTTTAGATTTATTTTCTAGGAAGAAGGGTCACCCCAAGTCCACATTTCTTCATATGTTCAAGTACTAGATTACTCAAACACCATCTGAAAGATATCAAACCAAATGTAGTGCTGGTTCTTGAGCTTAGCAGTATACACTAAATGTTTACAGTACTTTAATGCATTTCTCTTCATCTAGCATCACTAATCATTACTATCTTTTCATGAATAGTAATTAATTAATCTTAGTTAAATTATTACTCTTCCACTGACACAACTTTAATAACCTAAATTTGAATGCACCATGTGTAATAATGAATGTGCATTACCAAATTAAAAAGACAATTTACATATAAACACCTCTCGTGTAGATGTTACAACTGTAGTCCCTATCATGCCTCAAATATTAGTAACAATATATACTGTATGCATATACTCTCTTCTAGTTTATGTGGTAGTTAGTGCTACTTTACCTGGATATCAAGAGATCTCACATTTAATTTCTTCTTGTTATAATGTTTACTGCAAAAATGGATACTAAAACACCAAGTACTATCACATATCAGAA